AAATAATGTGTTTTTTGAACATTAAAGCATGTCAACATATTCTGTTACACCAAATACACAAAATAAAGATCTTTAAAAAAGCATTATATGACCCCTTTAACATCTTTTTCTCAAAAGCTTGGGTTCAGTAAGATTTAATTTTTTAAAGAAATTAATACTTTTATTCAGCAAGGATGCATTACATTGATCAAAAGTGACAGTAAAGACATGTATAATATTACAAAAGACTGCTGTTCTTTTAAACTTACTATTTATCAAAGAATCCTGAAAAAATGTATCACGGTTTCTACCAAAATATTATGCAGCACTGTTTTTAACATTGATAATAATAAGAATTTAAAATAAATAATAAATAAAATTCAGCTTTGCATCACAGGAATAAATGGCATTTTAAAACAAATTTAAATAGAAAACATTTTAAATTGTAATAATATTTAACAATATTGCTGTTTTTACTGTATTTTTAATTAAAGAAATGCAGCCTTGGTGAGCAGAAGAGACTCTTTCAAACCCCAGATAGAAATCGCTGTTCTAAATCATAGCAAAAACAATTCTATCATCTACATATTAGTAACATGTTGCAGTTGAGTGAACACGCTAAAAATGACATCTTCCAGATGAAAATGCTACATCAAAATGGCAACTTGTTAGTGTTACATTTCGGGAGGATGTGAATTGCAACATCTGGGAAGATAAACCACTGTGTACCGCTGCTGTATCTACTTCCTTTTTGAGTAGACACCATTAGCAATGAAACGCCAGCTCTTATGCACTGTAAGAGAAAGCTGAAAAGATTCCTCACTTTTCTAAAAGTCTGTAATGAGCACCCGCTGATACAGAATCAAGTGCTCCACGCTCACGACGTCAGCCACTGCAGTACGTGCAAGACTGTGTGTGTGTGAGTCACACTTGTTCTCATTTCGCTCTAGCGTGTGTACGTGTTCTCGCATTGACCCGCAGTCACATTCTCATGCATCATCCGCTCGCAGGGCATTGCTGTGGCATCCTTTTTAGTTTGCAAATCAGCCAAACACAAGCCCACATATGCATATTTTCCTTTTTTTCCCAGAGGAATAGTCTCACGGTTTAGTGGCTGTTTGTTATGGCTTGGCAGGACGGTTAGTGCAGCACATTGTGTTCGGTGCTTCCTTCTGTAGGCACTTCATCAAAAGGCTTCTTTCTGAGTCATGAGTCCAACAAAAGCTGTTGTTTTCTGAATGGAGACTGAGCAGTGCTCCCAAATAAGCCAATTCATTCATATCAGTGTTTTTAAATTAGCAGCAGGGGTTGGTTTGGTTGTATTTTTTTAGATTATCTCACTTGCATTCGTTCTAAATCAGCTGTGTAGCCTGCAGAGCTAGTGTTACGTAAGCGTGTCACTTTGAATAACGGCATGCCGGTTTTCCACTCTGCCTTTTTTTTTCCATTGTATTTTTCCTTTTCACATGTGGCCATCCTCCCCCGCAGTCCACCTCGCCCATGAGTGGCAGGTGACATCATCAAGACTTTCATTGAGCACGCCAGCACGTATTCAGTGGATAATCTGCATCACACCGGCGACCAACCCCCTCTCTAAGCCTCTACTGTGGCTGTCAATCTCAGATCAGTAGAGCGAAGGTTTATTGCTGCTGACGCATCAGTGTGCTGACCGCATGATAAATGCTAATGCGGCCAGCGGCACTCAAATCCTAAGTGATGTGCCAACATGTGAAGGTGTCATGCACAAATAGCAGATAATTCCCTCAGTTAAAATGAACTTTGAAGATGTGTCAAATGCATTATTTAATGTCTTTTGGGATTAATTGACATTATATGCATCATGAGACCTCAGTTTATGTTTCTAGTTATAATTTTATTGGGCATTGGTACTTTATGAGACCTTGTGACTAGAATGAATGCAAAATGCAATCCTTTGCCAATCATATCAAGTGTTGAACCTTCAAAATTGAGCCTGTTCACTTTAAAACATGTTGCTGATCGATTCATCAATGCATTTAATTTCAACAATTATTCCTAATCTTTTATCAAAATGCAACTCTTGTCAAATATCTAATTTTGCTCAGAAATGCATCACACCTAACATGGGTTGTGAATGTCGTTCCATTTTGTCTTTAACATTGCTCTCTGTCTGTCTCTATTGCTGTGTTTCACAGGAGTGTTCCTCATTCCCTATGTGTTGTTCATATTTCTGGGAGGCATTCCGAGATTCTTCCTGGAGATTGCGCTGGGTCAGTTTATGAAGGCTGGAAGCATCAATGTGTGGAACATTGCACCTCTTTTTAAAGGTTTGCTTTTCATGTTTATGCATTACCTTACTTTTTAAGCTGTGATACTATTTTAGGTTGTCCTTTAAAACATAGCATTCTTTAAAACATGCATTCCTTATTTTTTAAAAATATTATATTATATTGTATATATATATATTTTTTTTTTTATTTTTTTTTTTTATTGTTTTGCTTTTTTTAATGAAATGATTTGTATCAGAATTAAGCCACATAATATGTTGATGTCTTATCACCTTTTACCTATTACAAATTTTATATTATATAAAATTATATTATTAATATATATATATATGTACACACACACAAACACTTTTTTTTAATCAGAATTAAGCCATATAATGTGTTGATGTCATCTAATATCATCTATACACAGTATCCATATCACATAATACCTTGACTTTGTTTTCTGATATGTTTCAAAATTATGTACATATTGTATCACAAAAAAGGGTACAAATACGTTATAAGGACAATATATAACTTCAATGAATGCCCTTCAGTATATCCTTGCTTTATTCTATCAAAGACAACAAGAAATCAAATTTGGCTCTATTTACTGCCTCAATTCATGCATGATTCATCAGCACTTTACACCTGAAGAGAAGGGGTTGATTTTCAATTATCTTTTACCGGTTTGTTTTAGGACTTGGCTATGCCTCCATGGTGATTGTGTTTTTCTGTAACACGTACTACATCATGGTACTTGCCTGGGGTTTCTACTACTTCATAAAGTCTTTCAATTCCACGCTGCCCTGGTCCACCTGCGACAACCCGTGGAACACCGAAAACTGCATAGAGACCTTCCGCCACGACGACTGCCAAAACGGCACCATTGGCAACTCCACATTCGGGAACCTGACGTGCGAAGAGCTTGCTGATGGGCGTTCCCCTATTATTGAATTCTGGGAGTGAGTGATTGGTTTTTACGCACTTCATTCCTTACACAAACAATATTTGAAATGCCTTTCATAACAACTCTTGACAAGATGAATGTGTTTTTGTTGTTAAAATATGATGTGCTTTTCTTGATGTTATGTTGCGGTTAACTGTTATTAATCCCACATCAATAGACACATAATTTGCTTTTCCGTTATGAACCTGTGGCATTACATTTGCTCATGTTGTGCTCCCAGTACAATCTTGAATCTGTGTACAAGATTTTTGAATCTGCAGTAAGCATTTCATATTATTGGTTATTCAAAGTGAAATCTCCGATTTGAAGATCATCTGTTGACAAAGTGGTTAGTTTTAAAGTCACAAGTGACAGTAGACTATACAGCTCTGGAAAGTCATCACTTTCAAGCTACGTATGAGTTTATAGATTAAAATGAGCTTTATACAGTGCTTTCATTCATGAATGTCTTTCTCCATCTCAGGAACAAGGTTCTGAACATCTCTGATGGGCTGGATGAGCCAGGAGTCATAAACTGGGAACTGATGCTGTGTCTTATGGCTGTGTGGGTGATGGTTTACTTCTGTGTGTGGAAGGGGGTGAAGTCAACAGGAAAGGTGAGACCTGCTTTCTTTAGTGCTTCTCATTACATGTGTGAACCCTGTGTGGGGTGAAGACAGGTAAAAGCAGCACTCAGTCACATGGACAGCAGAGAATCAAATACCTGCACTACAACTTAAGCTTGGCTATGTAACAGTGGTAACTAGTATTGGGGAAGCTACTAACCACTAGTTAAATGACAGTCAAGTTACTTACATTACAAGCTTCTTACAAAAAGTACTGTTTTTAATATATTTTTAAATATGCACTGCCTTTCAAACATTTGGGGTCAGTAAATATTTTTTTTGAAAGAAATTATTTTTATTTATTCAGAAAGGATGCATTAAATTGATCAAAAGTAACAGTAAATGTTTGTTGCAGAAGAATTCAAATAAATGCTGTTCTTAGGAACTTTCTATTCATCTAAGTATCTTGAATAAAATATATCATGGTTTCCACAAAAATATGAACTGTTTTCAACATTGATAATAATCAGAAATGTTCTTGAGAAGCAAATCAGCATATTAGAATGATTTTTGAAGGATCATGCGACACTGAAGAGATACTGATGAGAGACAATATATTTGATCATTTTCAGAACTTGTGTACCAAGTTTCACGTCAGGGACATGCTCACTATATCTGGGAACAGAGCATACAGTATATTCCCAGTAATTTCAGTGTTTTGTAATGCAAATAGCCAGTTGAATCCAGCTTTATCTCATTTGAAACTTGAATGAGAATTTAACAGATCAGTTTGTAGGACACTTCATATTTTCTTATGTAATCGTGCTATTATGCTGCTCGTAAATTCGTAAAAATATGCCTATCAAAGACAGCATGTTATTGCATTTCCATTGTTTAGCTTGTGCTATCAAGTGCAATGTGACTTTCTTGTGTAACCTTTGCATAGCTCCACCCACTTCTGCTTTGTCACAGTAGTACAGGAGTGAGGCAGAGCGGTAACCATAGCAACATTATTTGCAATTGGGGTGTGGTGGGAAATGTTGTAAAGTGCCCTGTCAGGAAGGCACTGTGAGACTGGTTGGTCACGAGTGGGTTTCTGCAGTGGGACGTGACAAGGTGCTCGTACTAATGGCCGACAGGCATATTCTCTTTTAGAGAGGCGGGATCATGTGAACCCTTAATAATATAATAACTTCATTTTATTTCTGCTGCCTTTACTGTATAGAAGGTCATCCTTGTATAACGAACGAGTTACTCCTGTGAACTCAAAGCAGGGCTTAATGTTTCTAGTAAAGAAGTTAAATAGTGGAAAGTAGGTTATTTGAACTCATAGTTGCCAGCTCGTGATTTTCCTTCATAGCTTTTCGTTGATGGAAAGGACACTGTGAGTAAGCGTCGAGTCAAGCTCATTCAGACAACTGACGCACACACACACATGCACACAATAAGCCAGTGTTACAGTGAGCTAATTGGCTATTTCAGAATCTGATTCATTATTGCGGGGCACAAATACTAAGCGGTAGATTACCCCAGATTCTCAGGCCTCATGGGAATTAGAACAGAGTTTGTTTACTGACAGTATTTTTAGTTCAGGTCTATTTCTGCATCTTTATAGTCACTTGAAAAAGCGGGATGGATTGAATCTTAAAGTCTGAGCTGATAACAGAGCTTATGGTGCAGTAGGAGTATTTGATTTCAACTGCCATGCATCAGACAGCTAATGCTATGAAGGCTATTATTAAATCATTACTCCAGTCTTCAGTGTCACATGATCCTTCAGAAATCATTCTAATATGATGATTTTCTGCTCAAGAAACATTTCTTGTTATTATCAATGTTGAAAACATATTTTTGTGGAAACTGTGATTTATATATATTTTTTACAAGATTATTTGCTGAATAGAAAGTTAAAAAAACAGCATTTGTTTGAAATAGAAATCTTTTGTAACATTATAAATGTCTTTACTGGCACTTTTGATCAATTTAATGCATCTATGCTGAATAAAATTATTAATATATATATATATATATATATATATATATATTTTCAGACAGATTTTCCCAAACACTCCTCAAGTCTAGCACTGGTCAGACAAACAGGTAGTCCTGCCCAAACTCACTCAATGTTGATTCAGTGTTATATCGCTTGAACCAAGCACAAAAGAGCCACTATATTTTCAATTCTCTGAGAAATAAATCTGCGAATGGCTTATTTAAAGCCCCTGCAAATTAAACTAAGCATAATATTGATTATCATATTATAATGCTTGACTGACTGATGTTAAGAGTGTACTTTCAGATATTTATAAAACTGTGCCATTTTACAAACAAACATATACACACATATATATTTATATATATATATATACTATATTTATTTCCATTTATAATAAAAATATGTATTTTTCATTTATAATATAATAATATAATAATTATTTATATATGACCAGTACATTTTCTCAATTCATCCATCATTGATTGACTAGTGTCTAGTGTGATAGAGAGATAATTGGACCATTTTTCATTGATGTGTCAGGATTCATGATTATTCTTGAGGTCAGGACTACTAGAGATGACATGGTTCTTAACTGTGGACAGACAAAGATGTCACAGAATGACGTGGAGAATTCAGAAAGCTCTCATTATGCACTGCACGTCCTAAACCGTGACCGTGTTTTTGTTGTAACTGGGCAGCATTGTGTTTTTTGAGTTGAGCTCGTCTTCCCGAGGGAATTCAGGAGACAGGGTTTGCAGCAACAGTTGAAGTCTGTGAAGATCTGTGGCCAGGCGGCATGCTTTTAATGCGATGGGCTTGATGTAGAATGGCTGTCCTACATTTTTGTGTCTATGTGGAGCAATTACAGAAGGCTGCCAAGCTCGTAAGACAATACATGACATGTGAGCTAAGTCCGTAAACCAGCAAGGCTTGGAATGAGCAAGTTTCATGTAAATGCTCCCTGATTACAATCCGTCTCATATCATCAGAGTTCAAAGTTCAGACCGCTGAATCAGTAAACCTCTCCTTGCTGAAAAAATCAGTGATGATCTGATAACAGAAGGCAGTGAGACGTGCAGTGCATGGTTCTCAACTTCGTTCACATGACGCAATGCTCAGCATGTGACTAACAACGTCCTTGCTGAGAAAAGTGTATTTTAGAGATGCAATGCAGCAGATTCTCTGATATAAATCTACTGATATTATTGGCTTGAACTAGATTGTTATCTGTATTATATGTGGCTTTCTACGATCAGTCTAGCAAATGCTCTTAAATGCACGTGAATGACTGCCAAAATTCTTTAGCAAACAAGGACATTTATTAATCACGGAAAATAACATTATCTTGTGAAGAAAATATGAGTGGTACTTTCTCATGCAAAACTCATGTTGTGAATGGTCACCAGGATGTTGCAAGGTTGTTTAGTCATTGCTAGGGTGTTTTACTAAGTCTGATCTTTTTGAGAAATAACATCGTATCTCTGCTTAACAAACAAGATTTGAGATATCAGCCATGGCTGCTGCACATGCAGTGGATTATGAGCTTTGTGCCAAAGTTTAATGTTTATACCTCAAATACCCAACTACAGTATGAGCAATATTAATAGTAATAATAAACACCTTAAAGGAATAGTTCACCCAAAAATGACATTTACTCACAATCAGGCCATCCAAGATGTAGATGAGTTTGTTTCTTCATGGGAACAGATTTGGAGAAATGTAGCATTGCATCACGTGCTCACCAGTGGATCCTCTGCAGTGAATGGGTGCCGTCAGAATGAGAGTCAAAACAGCTGATAAAAACATCACAATAATCCACAAGTAATCCACATGACTCCAGTCCATCAACTAATGTCTTGTGAAGCGAAAAGCTGTGTTTCTAATAAATAAATCCATTGTTAAGATGTTATTAACTTTAAACTGTTGCTTCTGGCTAAAATATGACTCCTCTAGCCATAATATTGCTTTGTCCAGTATAAAAAGTTGTCTCATCTGACTGATTACAAGTCAAAACAGTACAAAACAGTTTCAAGCAAATATATTGGTGGATTTTGATGTGAGAGGACAACAGGAGATGGACTTTTTTAATGGAGAAAGTGTTATTATGGATTATGGACTGGCATTTTAGCAAGAATTAAGAGTTTAAAGCTAAAACAACCTTAATGATGGATTTGATTCTTACAAAAACAGCTTTTCCTTTCACAAGACGTCAATTGAGTCGTGTGGATTATTGTGATGTTTTCATCAGCTGTTTGGATACTCTTTCTCTTTCATTCACTGCAGAGGAACCATTGGTGAGCAAATTATGTAATGCTAAATTTTTCCAAATTCAAAGAAAAAAATTCATCTACATCATGGAAATTTTTAGCAGATTTTTGGCTGTTTTTTTTTTTTTTCAGTGAGTTGTAGGTAATGAAAACAGTTGACTTAACCATCTTTCATAATTTTTGTCTTTGACAGATTGTGTATGTCACTGCCACGTTCCCGTATGTGGTCCTGATTATTCTCCTGGTGAGGGGCGTCACTCTTCCTGGTGCTTATGATGGGATCATGTACTATGTCAAACCTGACTGGTCTAAGCTAGGAGAGGCACAGGTGAGACCTTCAGTTCTGTCTTCCAGCTTTCTGTAGAGCTTCAAACCTCTCTACCACTTTGGATGAAATCATTTGATTTCAAAATCAAATGATTTCATCCAAATGAATAAGTGTAAAAGTCATTCAGTACGCTTCATTATTTTTTTCTCAGTTTCCAGCTTTCTGTAGAGCTTCAAACCTCTCTACCACTTTGGATGAAATCATTTGATTTTATCCAAATGAATAAGTGTAAAAGTCATTCAGTACGCTTCATTATTTTTTTCTCAGTGTATTTACTTTTCTCTCTCTGCTTATAGGTATGATGCACAATACGGTTTCATTTTAGTGTTTCTAAGAACGTTCAAAGTTTTAAAACTTGACTTTTATGTCCAGTACCTGGAGCCACTTTGAGCTCAATAATCATTTCAGATGTGGATCTGTTTGTCTGACTGTCATTACTCTTTCTGTCTCTCTCAGGTCTGGATCGATGCTGGTACTCAAATCTTTTTCTCCTACGCTATCGGGCTCGGAGCCCTCACGGCCCTCGGCAGCTATAACCGATTCAACAATGACTGCTATAAGTAAGCCCCCGCCACAGCCTTGAAGAGACAAGGACACATTTTTGTTATGACGTCTTTTGTACTTTCTGAACCAGTGTGTTTTCTTTTTAAAAGACGTTGTGTCTAGTACGTTCACGCCATCACGAGTCCTGACCTTGTCTTACATGAAGCTGGATTTGAATGATGATGTGGCTAGCAAAGAGCAAACGGCCTCTCACTTTAATAGTAGATCTCAAATGTCCTGGATACATTAGTAACCAGATGCACGGAATCAGCAGTTCTATGCTTTGACTTTAATGTACAAAGCACTTTGGCTGGTTATATATACATTGACAGTCTGGGATGATTTCATTTAAAATTGGAAATAAAATATTTTAGGATTTTATATATTTGTCATAAAATTTTGATTATAATTTTGATTGCTGGAGATTTGCACTTTTTTAGGTTATTAATCAAATAAGCAAAAGGAGACATAACTAAATAGGCTACTGTGAAATTTTGAAATTCATGCACATCTTTAAAATTCAGCTTTTCACTTCAATTATCATGTTAAAAATGTGTATTAAATTAGAAGTGAATATTATTACTAAATTACTACAAAAATGCCTTTATATAATTAATATGATTAATGCCTTAATATTTTGATTATTTTATTAATTTTTATTTTTATAGTTCGTTTTATTCATTAAATTAATTAATTGTGATTAATTTCAGGAAAAAAAAGTGTGATTAGTTAATTTTTTGGATGGATTGACAGCACTAGTGTTAATCATTTTTTTTAAATAAAGTATTATTATAATTGTATTATTTTATTATTGACTTATTATTCATTATTAATAAATTAACATTTAATAAATAATTGTAACCACAGTTATGGTACATTAGGTACATTGTGGTACATAGTATGTACAAATTCAAGGTTATACATTTTAAGAGTGCAGTGCATTACAACACGATATCTCATAAAAAATTATGGTATTTAATGCATTATATTCTTTATTCTATAACCTTGAGTAGATAAATTATTGAAATAATTGTATTGTAGCAGTATTTTGAATTATTCACAAGAATATAATACTGACAATGAGGTGGCATTATTATATGCCTTTTATCTGAAATAAAATTATGACATTTTTAATTCAGTATACACTATTTAGGCTTCATCTAATGTGTTACACAACCATCTGACTGCATTCAAATAAAGCCCAACACATGCCAAAACTGAGCTGCAGTTAATGTCTGTGTTTTCTTCTCTTCTCAGGGACGCTTTTGTTCTGGCTTTTATTAATAGTGGCACCAGTTTCTTTTCTGGTTTCGTGGTCTTCTCCATCTTAGGTTTCATGGCATCTGAACAAGGTGTGGACATCTCTAAAGTGGCTGAATCAGGTAAGAGCCTACAGTCATTTACTTCATTACAGGTGACAGATTATGTACTATACTGGATGGTAAGACAAACAAATGTATATTTTTAAAACATATTTATGTGTCTGCCAGCCCTGAAACTACGTGCATCTTAATGCAGGTGTTTAATAATTTACTTTCACTTGTTTTTAGTGCACATAAGTGAATGCATTTCTGACCTGGGGCTGGTTCTAGTAAATCATTTATGAAATCAATGTTTAATGCAAGAATGATATACTGAAAATGAATGAAACATGCATTGTGTGAGTCATGAACATTTGTGATATGATGATGATGATATTATACAGTAAATGAACTTCAGTGCAGTGTGATATGTGGCTTGTATTGTTTATTACTGTAAATGTTTATTGTTGGATTGACAATACAATTGAAAGCAGAATATAAATGATCATGTTTATACACAATGCTATTTGCTCTTAGTCATATTACTGTGAAAGGGACCAGACGATTAGCAGTTTGTGTTTTGTGTGTGTGTGTGTGTGTGTGTGTGTGTGTGTGTGTGTGTATGTGTACCTGTTTTTCTATTCTGGTGGGGACTTAAACCTGCTAAACCTGAATACACACAGACTCATGGGGACTCGTGTCACGGTGGGGACCTAAATTGAGGTCCCCACGGCGCCTATGGAGAGTCCCCACAAGGATAGCAAACCAGACGTGTGTGTGTGTGTGTGTGTGTGTGTATGCAGACTTGTTTATGTGTGTGAGTTTATAATGGGAATGCAGGTATGTGTGTATGTTTGTGAGTTTCAGCTATCACAATCAGTACATTCTTCTTCTTATATGCTGTCCTTAAACACTGAGGACGATATAATTCCCAGAATGCAATGCCTTGATTTTACATACACAAACGCAAAGACATTGATTACGATTTAATTCTAATTTTATGTTTAAGTTAATAATACTTAAGACTAAAATACTGATCATCCTTGAATAAGCATCACAGACTAGACTAATAGACTAATAGTATGCGGCATGAATTTAACGCCCCACATGTTCTTGTGTGACGCTCACGCATGCAGACGTGTTAGTTCATAACACATAGGCCTACATGTTTCACATTTAAAGTGTGAACACCAGACGTAGGCTTGCTGTCGCTCAGATTTTTGTGAAGCTATCACTAATAATCTGTACATAACATGACCATCCTACAAGATTGACATTAAATTCACGCCTTTTTGCATAAATATCTTGCTAAAGGCTGTTGCATAAAGAAAAACTGCATACGACCACACACTATAAATGTTAGGAAACCAAATCCCCAAATTTTCTGTACTGATTTCATCAAGAATAGTGAGCATGAATCTAGATGGTTAGTAAAATGTTTTATAAATGTTTTTGGTTTATAGCCAGCTTCTTCATGCACTGTAAAAAATATTTTTGGAGTTGTAAAAAAGGCAAAGAATACTAGAGTACATTTTAAAAGAAAAAAATTATTTCAGTCTTTCTACTTCAAAATTTCATGTTTAATTCAATGTGTTACTTGCAATTTGTTTGAAAATTTTTCACTCAGAAATTTCTAGTAAAATTTCAAATTATATATCTATCACATTATGTACCTTGTCTATAGACACATGGACATTAGCTTGCTAAAAGTATTATTTCTCCCAAATTATTGTCTAAAAAATGAAACTGCTCATTTATTTATTTATTGCCATAACAACCTAGTTGTTCGGAATTTTGCTTGGTGAGCTCATCAGCAATGATAACATACATTCAGAAAAAAAACAACACATATACATAAATACATCTATACATATATGTCCTATGAATTACAGGGAGTGAAAAGCAGATGCAGAAATACCAGAGGAATTAATAGCATGAACAATCCTACAATAAGTGCAGTTCAGAAAACGTGTAGACAGTTTTAACTGCTCTAAGACGTCTGCATGAAGGTAGAGGCGTGAAGAGATGTCTGGCTGGATGTAAGGGATCTTTCAGGATTGTTAGACCTTTTTTCTGTGAATGTGAGACATAAATCTCATCAATAGTGGAAAGATCACAACCAATAATTTTCAAAGCAGTCCCTATTATGTTACTAATCTGACTTCTCTGCTAAGCTGTGGAACTACCAAACCACACCATAATTGAGAAATTCAGCACGCTTTCGATCACAGCTCTATAAAAATTTAACATATTAACCTTAGAGACGCCAAACATTTTAAGCTGTCTAAAGAAAAAAGCCTTTGATGGGATTTTTAAATAATGCGTCTTAGGTTGTCGTCCCACTTCAATGATGCAGAGATTGTAGTCCCAAGAAGCTTAAAGCTTTATACATTTTCAATGTCCTGACCATTAATAATTAATGGCAAAAACAGCATTTGACCTCCGTCGGAAATCAAACACCATTTCCTTTGTTTTAAGGACATTCAACTTCAGATTATGAGTACAACTCCATTCAAATAATGTAGATACCTCCCTTCTATAGTCAGATTCATTATTGCCTGTTTTTAGACCAATCAATGTAGTATCATCTGCAAACTTAAAAATTGCACTTTTCAATAAGCAACATTTTAATAAGCAACATTTTACAATCTGGTGGTTAGAAGATGTGTGAACATTAGGGTTTTGCCGATAGACGATAGTATCGTGTATCGACGATAGACAGAGATATTGCCTGTGGCTGATACCTTTGACGATAGCAAGACGATTATTATTATTTTTATTATTATTATTATTATTATCAGGCTAGTAATACTATCTAATTAATATTAAGGCTTATTTGTTGCATTAGACCTATATTTATTTTTCCGCGTTTTTACAGTATTGTGCATTCTAACCAATCACACACGATTATGCTGAGCTTATGAATGCAATGGCCAATCAGAGGCGTTCAGATGAGTCATCGCTAAAACTGCGGAGTTCTGTTGTTCAGTGCGCTGACTGAATTCTGACTCGCGAATTCTCTCATTATAAACAACAAAGTGCAGATGTACGTGCGATGTAAGTACAAGAGATTTATTCATCATATAGTGTAGATTCACTGAGTTTAACGGGAGTGTTTTTAAAGTGCATAAACTAAAGTGCTTTTTGAATAACTGAGGAAATGTAAGCATTATAATTAGTAACTTACGATGCTTCTATTAATTTGTTATCATGTTAAATACAAATTCAGTCATATTAAAAACATTAGGCTGCTTTTAGCCTTACGCTGGAGTTGGTTCACTTTCTCGTAAATAATTACATAGATTAGCACGATAATATCGTGTATCGGCGATCTCACAGTCTAACGATAGGACGATAGGAAAATTGAGCATATCGCCCAACACTAGTGAACATCACATCATATTCTGAACTAAAGACAACATTTTATTGAAACTTGCATATTTACTGACTCATCAACCCACCATCTGCATGCATGTGCATTTAACAACATTTTTCTAATCAGTAAAATATACTATATAATAGTTCATCTTTGGGCCTGAAATTGAAATTCACACCAAAGTTAGCCCCAGAAATGGAAATGAAATGTAGTCAAACCTCCTAAGCCTATGAATTAGGTCTGACCTTTTAGACCTTTTTTTTTTTACTGAATAATTCTGGTTTAAAATCGTACAGCTTGTAGCGGAGCTCCATTTAGTGCTAGTGGTATTTTACTCTTACCCCTGCATGGTAAATTAGTACTGTCATTTCAGAATCAGTTCAGCTCGCGGCGCAGAAGCAGTAAACTGGTTTGTTGAGGCTCAGAAAAGGACAGCATGTTCTTGGCCTGAAGGAGAGACTGTACAGCAAGACTAAATGAGTATGAAGTGATAATATTTTTAAATGACTTGGCAAGATGCTACGGACTTCATACAGAGTGACCCTCACGTCCTTGAAATGAATGAATTTTAATCGGATCGCTGCTTGTACATGTTGGGGTTAACACACCAGTGTACTGCATGCTTTAAAGGGGTCAAATCATGAGGAATCACATGTCCTTGCTCTTTCAGTAGGCCTTTCATGATGCTAAATTAAGTTTAATATTAATGTAGAATGTTACATGTTAGAAATTGAATGTAGATTGCAATAATTTTTCAATGAAATAACCACTGTTTCTGGTTTCGGAAGTAATTACTGTATTCAAGTCTCATTTTCATATTCATATTGTTGTTGTTATAATTTCGACATAATACACAGCAGCAAATTTACACTGATAGATCTGACAGATCCGACCACGGGTAACAAAATTAATTTCTAATCCGTACTAATTTTAGTACTTTTGTACTGTCACAGCAGGTTTGAACCAGGGGTATTGTAGTTTACTAAAACCAT